ATGCTGGATCCGTTAATAGCTCGAAGCATTAAAATTCGGGTCAGGTTGTTGACACAAATTTATGAGGGTTTGGAAAAGGGCAACCTTGATTTTACGTTAAAGGTTTTAATAAAGATATCATGATACAAATTAATTTTATGATAGGTAAGTGATACCTATTCGACGAAGGTCAGAGTAATTGAAAATCTAAATATTTTTTGTTGAAGCTCGTTTTCAATTTATTAAATCTGTCTTATCCGTGTTACCGGTTATTACACCGAAAAATCATTCCATCCCAGTCCATGAACAATATCGATATTTTAATCTAACGCCCCAGATTCTAAAGTGTCGTAGTATTTTTGACAAAATGGTTTTCCAGATCAGATTTAGCTCGTCATTAATATTGTTAATTATATCCAGCTGAGCCAGCGCGCATTTATCAAACGGGAGTTAGTTCTTGGTCGCACTATCAGTGCTGCAATTTATACTGCGCGGCACCGGCGAGTGCGCGATAACTTTGGTGCAGGTATATTTGAGATAGCGCCCGTTAAGTGCTTTGCAAATAAATACCTCTTAATCCAATCTGCTTTAACTACCTTATGTAACCCGGTTTAGTGTTTTAGCCTCGTTTCGAAATAACGGTACAGTTTTATAAACCTGAAATATTCTACCTTGATTATAAACACAAACCCATGAACAATCTTACATAATACCTTCTTTAAAAGCTAATTGCCTAGCTTTTAAAGAAGCTTCCTCAACACGAAACAATTTACAGGAAGACATTTCTAGTATCATTATTACACTTACTAAACTTAATTTGTAGTACTCTACTAAGTACCCACTGAAATGACTTTGTTTGAATTAATTTGTTTGTTCATCAATTGGCATCGCAATAACTAGAGCAAATTGAACTCCAGTTCCCCTAGCAATCGACGCACAATACGAGTAGGGAGCTATTCCTGTAAGCCTACTCACAGCTTCATCTAGCGCCGTATAAATAAAGGCTTTCGTTCACTATGCCGCGTACTGCGCATATTGTCGGCGGGAGATACTCCACGTAGAGGTGGCACAAGCAATACATTCTCCGCGAACACAGAGCATGCAAGGATAATTACGTCGTGCCAGGCCTTCATAATGTGCGCCCGACCCGCTTCAAACGTCGCAATAAGACTTAGTTTAAATTAAGGGCGAATCGGCAAAGATCAACAGTTCAGTTTATCTGGCGATTAGTTCGGTCCAAGTTTGAAACCCTTTGAAATGTTACACCTTGATAAGGATTTTGGTGATAAATGAAGTTTATTAGACGGACGATGACAAACCATTTACAATTTAAATTGAAGATTGAGTCGCTTTTCAAATTAATCCGCTCATGCGAAAATTATTAACTGTATAACAACGCAATCTCTATCTGAAGATCGTAACTTTATTTTAAGATCTATGAATGAACCCGTGTAATGTTCATTGATGTCAAGCGCTACGGCTCAGCACAAAAGCAATGTGAGCCAGAATGGGCTCTTACTTATTTCTGTCTAAACAGAATTAACGTGATGCTTATTTATTTGACAAGAAGACAGCGTTCTCTTCTGATCTCGAAAAATTAAAACAAACTGCTGAAAATGAAGTATGGATTGGTAGAGCGCCAGATGACGACAAATTTAAAAATGTCCCAAAACATTTTATGTGGAAAATAATTAATATTATAGCAAAACTTTTGTTAAACTTTTTTTTCTTCACGCCGTACAACTTTCCCATGTACACTACATACGGATGTTCAATTCATAATACATAACGTAACTTATGTATTCTGAGATTTGCAATTGAAATCAAATAAGGCCGGGGTGAAATCAGTCAAACATTTACCTTTAGTGAGGGTATCCCCAAGGGCCTTTGCTTCGTTATCGTATAAAGGTCATACATAGGTTATAGGTAGAACAGTCTCTAACAAATATCCATATGAATATATGCTAGGTATGTATGTCAATATCATGAGTGCTGATAACGAAAATAACGACATATCTTTGTTTACTGGTACCAGTCTATTTTAATCACAAAAATCAACACCTATTTTGTCGTACAGCGTTTTCCGGATCTGTTTTCTTTGACACGTGAAACTTTTTAGATATTCTTTGACATTCAATAATGGGGACAATTTTTGAACGCCCCCAGATTCGTTCAGGCGCTCGTCTGCCCTTTTGAAAGGGGATAACACGGAACGATTAAAAAGTCGCAAAAGTTCAATTTTTCAGACCCTTCGGACAGCGGCGAAACGATAAATCGTGACGATCGATCGTTACGTGTAACGGTACCCTAGCACAATGGAGATATCGGAGAGATTTATAGGTCACGCGCGCCTTGATTAAAAACCTCCTAAATGGTACGGGGGTAGATGTAATTTCACTGATTTCCATTTGGGAATATGTGACAAAAAATTTCAATATTCCAACCACATTTTATGAAATTACTGTAGCTGATGAGGTTGGGCGACTAATCTCTTTTACATTATTTGAAAAACTGGTTTTATGTAACCAGTTCGTGTCTCGTGTTTTATATCTACATTTTTATAGCAGCAGTAACAAGGAACGATGAATACTTCAGGCGACATCCTTCTGAAATAATAATTACGTAGTTAAAAGTTTTAAACTGGCTCTGCTTTTTAAATTTCGTTGTTCCTATCACGACCACACTTCAACATTTGGGCGTTCCGCCAAGTTTCCATACAAAATGTTCCATGAAAACTTCGTTACTACACATATCATGACGTTGGGAACATTTCTCAGTTCAGGTAAAGTGCCATTCTTCGTCAACTTTGTGGTAGTATACCTAGTTATATTATATGTATAACCTAAGTATATCACACTTTAAACTTTATTATACTGTTTTAAAGTATGTTAGTGTGTGAGTCAGTTTAATTAAATGCCTGCGTACGGAACTATTTCGACAAATTGGCGCAATGAAAACTATCCCAAAAGTTGTGCTATTTGTATGCAAATTTATGTCGTTTTCAGCTCCAAGTTCATAAAAGGCTTGGGGATGAACCATTTAATTTGTATTTTTAAATTAGAAGCTAACTTAAAATAACAATAATCACCGCAAGTCACTATCTGCCCTTATAGTAGGTAATTACGAATGGTACCATAAAATCAGAATAATTAATAGTTTCAGGGGGTATATTATCAAACATTTCAGTATTCAGACTGTTTTTTCTACTTCTTGCACTGCTACAGTCTAATGTTTTTAAGTTAATCTTGCCAAATTGCTATGACGTATGATAATTGGTACAATTCAGTAACAACCAATTAAACAGTGAAATGCTGCAGCGTTGGTGGTTGTTAAAACTAATTACACCACAGAGTAATTAGTGAAAAGCAACAAAACATGGCGTCCTTTTTCTGTACTTAAAAAGTCTTTTAGAAGACATTGTTTGCCCACAACCAACATTGTACCGTATTTTAGTGCCGTTTGCACTAAAATACGGTACAATGTTAGTTATTTGTTAATTTACTATGATTTATTATCAGTTTTAGGTGTTCAAGTAATAAACATCGTCGAATATAGTAATGCAATAAGTAAGTATTAACCAAAATTACTTCGAAAACAAAAGCCTTTGGCTGGCGTGGGTGACGGCAGCGCTGCAAATATTAAATACCTGAGCAGCATACGCTGAGATTATATTATGTTGATTTTCTGACCCGGTCATTTTGGAAGGTAATATTTTTGCCTCTCCTCATAATATCCAACCCTGGTCGTTCTAGAGAGTCTGATATACATATAGGAATATTAATTCGGTTTACTTACGGCTCTACAAAACGAAGGAGAAAAGTTGAAAATTACATCGTTTGTACAGTGCCGAAATATCGGAGACTCGAAATTAAGGTCGATGGTAGCAATCCCGTCAATAAATCATTATTTCGTTTTCGGCTAGCTTTCTAAAGTAGAAGTATACAGAATAACATCGTTAAAATGTCTACATGAGAATTTTTTCAAGAAGTTGACCACCTACAGGAAAAGATGGCGAAACAACGTAACTATCCGCCCATAATTCTTGTCTTGTCACACACCTAACGGCCACGACCATTTTATCAAGCAAGAGTAGGTATAACAACTGAGAAGACGACCGAATCAGAGATCTTAAAGCATGGTCATACTCTTTTGTGACCTTTCCTAAAGCCTTCTGAATCTTGAAGCATAGGCTTACCTGCAGCTTTAAGACTCAACGGGACTAAGCAGTGAACTCTAAACACAAGGGCTGCCATAATAGATCAAACCTGGTCGAGCTGGCGCAAAAGAAGGGCCAAAAACCTATAATAATAATAATAAGCCCCGCAGGGCAGCTTTGTGGCGAGCTGTTGGTGAGTAGCGACACCACGGGGCCAGTTGTTAATCCGAGTGCTCCCGAGAGTCGGTCAAGACCCTCATCTTCGGCTTGCCGAAGTGGAATCCAAGAGGGTCTGCAGGACTTTCACCTCTGGCTTGCCTTAACCGGCCGGCCAGAGTGGAGTCGCTAGAGCTATATGCTCCAGGGGTGGAAGTGTTAAAGGGCGTTTAACGCCGCGAGTAACCTCGGAGAAAGCGCAGCACATCTCTCTACACCCCTGAGCTGGCAGACGCCAATGTTGCCCCTCAGTCCGGTCTATATGACTCATGACGCCAGGGGGGGCCCATTTAGTCGCTGGCTAGTCACCGCCTGCCATTTTTTCAGTCCGAGACTATGAACCAGGCAGGTGACGCGTAGTCTCCATCCATAGCCCAGTAACCAGTCCCTCCATCCTTCATCCATAACCCTATTCCATTCACCAATAACTGCAATAGCTCCTGTGCAATGGCTGGGGATGGTCTCTGGCTACATCCCATGATATAGTCAGAGACTAGATCCAGCATGTGCACCACTTTCACTTTTGTCGATTATTTTGCGCTTAAAACGGCCTCTACGTGTTGGATCTGTATCCCCACGCAAGCCTTATAAAGGACCGGGCCACTTTTGACCCGTGAGCTCCAAAGCGTACAAATAATAATAATAATACCTGCAGCGCGCGCCTCCTTGCAAGCCAGCACCATGCTGTGCCTGACGTCGGGATTGTCGTCGGCGATGGTCTCCCCGACGGCCACGAAGCGCTCGACGGCGCAGGCGACGGCGGCCCCCACGCGCTGCACGGCCGCCCCGCCCGCCGCCGCCTCGCCGCGTGTCGCCACCAGGCTGCTGATCTGGTAGGTGATAGAAGATTATTAGAAATCATCATCATCAGTGTGCTTACCATGAGTTTACGTTAGGTTTGCTCGCTAGCGACTGCGTAAAAAATGTCATTAAATGCATTAAATGTATGACATGTTGTGCAGCGCCCCTAGCGGCTACTTTCAAGAATTAAATCTTGATTGACGTACTCGTATGACGTATATACCTATCACTGATGAGATTTTTTGAAGTACTCGTAAACTCATGGTAAGCACACAGGTCATCATGTAGTCTCCACTACAGGAGCAAGCATTCTCTAATTTCCAGGAAGCAAATGGGGAGGTTCTATTCTACTCTTACTCGTATATTGCTAGAACCACACGGCTCCTATTAAAAAAGTTATTAATACTACAGGCTTGTTTAGGGGTCATCCATAAAGTACGTCACACGTAAAGAGGGGGGGAGGGGGTTGACAAAGTGTGACATAGTGTGACAAGGGGTGGGAGGGGTCCTAAGTTTCGTGACATCACATTTTAATTGTTTCAAATATTTGATATATAATGTTGATTTAATAAAAAAAGTACTTAATTTAAATGGAATTAAAAGTAATTTCGGAACTGCTGTTAATTTAATAATTTTTCGTTGTGAAATTGCAAAANCGTTAGGTGTGCTCGCTAGCGACTGCGTAAAAAAATGTCATTAAATGTATGACATGTTGTGCAGCGCCCCTAGCGGCTACTTTCAAGAATTAAATCTTGATAGATTTTTTGACGTACTCGTAAACTCATGGTAAGCACACAGGACATCATGTAGTCTCCATTGTAGGAGCAAGCTTTCTCTAATTTCCAGTAGGCAAATGGGGGTGGTTCTATTCTGTTCTTTTGCTAGAACTACACGGCTTCTATTAAAAAAGTTATTGATACTACAGGCTTGTTATGAGCTATAAAGAAATACTCCGAATCATCTATGGTTGTAGGTAGAGTGCATCTATGTGCTACGTAATTATTTAATCCAGTAGACAAGTAGGATACAAGCTGTACTAAAACTAGTCAAGAATTATGTTTTTCAAATATGTATTTAATTTGAAAATGATAAAGATTCGTAATAAAATTGTTCATTAAATCAGTTCACTACTATACTTTTTAACATTTTCAGCTCATTTTCAAAGTTTTTGCCGTTGATGCATTCGTACCTAACGTTAGAACGAATGAAATTCTTATTACCTACTTATTCGTTTTATAAGCTTGCATTTGCGCGCGCAAAAGTATTTTATTTTTTATCTGAGCCGAGGGTTTTGACCAAACAAATTCAAGAGATACCTACAACTCACTTAGATTTATTTTTGTCCTCCATTTTCGTTTTCGGGACTCAAAGCGCGTGCTCAATTGGATTGGGACGCCAACACAAAACAAAATTACAATAGGTAGGTACGTTTCCTCCTTACTTTTGACGGTGATATCTTACATTTCTTTAGATCTCAATACTCCACTTAACACCAAGATAAAAGAGATATTGGTTTTTCATATCAAATGGCTAAAACAGCGATAAAAAATAGGTACTTGCATTTGAAAATTACGCTTACACTCGACTTTGTACCTCTGAATAACTTAAAGTAGATTTGTTAGAGCTCTTATGCAAATATTGTTACTCTGATTCTATATGCATTGTACTTCAGAATTTTCAGTTTTCATTCTAAAACTTAATTTTCAGTGTCTAGATTTACACGCAGGGTTGTTTTTGATTGTTAATTTTGCTTGAACCGTAATTTTTAATAGCACCACCATAACTACTCAATTCTGGAGCGAAAATGAGTTCAGTAAATTACTACTCTAGAGGTATTCGTTTTAGGTAATTCAATATTATCAAGTAGGTACGCTGTAGTAAAGCGCTTCGGGGTCAACTGAATCTGATTTTGTAAGAAGAATCGCTACAGATTGCGTCACATAGGAGCACAGCGCATTAGCTTCGTAGGCTTTTAAATGTAGCTAATGTACAGCTTGTTCAGCTATTTCTAAAGGTAAGAACATCTGAATACACTTGGGGCGCTGACGAGGATGTTTTATTCAGCTGCTAAAAGGCCGCTAATTTATTTGTTAAATAATGTAAGTCCTCCGCCCTGTCAACCCTTAATTTTTGATAAGGGAAAAATAACCTGCCACACGAAACCGTGTTTAAANTTAACTTTATGGTTTAAATAAAGCCGAGCCTTTCATAATAATTAATTTTAGACAATACAGGCTTTAGAGTGTAGATTACACAGAAAGATTTGTTACTGAAATATTCGTTAATTAAAACTTTGAAGAAAATGATTCCGATCAAAATTGGAATCTCACTTTTATTTTCTGATAGGTACTGTATTCAGAATACAACAATATATCTAAGCAAAATCTCTCTGACCCAAACACGTTTCATTCTGTTTAGTTATTCACGTGCAATAAGCATTTTACGTGTACCTACATTAGCGCTGGGGGTCGCAATTTATAACGTGAACGTCTTGTGGGGTGTCGAATACGGATCTTTCATACGAGTATATTTGGGAAGTTTTNGATGTTGTCATAAAGATTCATTCTATATCTACGAATAAATGATTCCGTAGGTTTATTAAACAATAACCTGCTACTTTAACCGGTACTAAATGAGTTTCATATGTTCAATAGAAATATATTTCTATTATGGTTAAAATAATTACGATCATCATCATTATCAATGAATGCTTCAAAATTACCTATTGTGTTCCACGTTTTGACTAAGTCAAGGTAGTCCATTCATGACCACGCACCTTTTGTAAGTCTTTCGTCTAGCTTCTCATAATGTCACGTCTCATTTTAGGTGACCCGAATGACCGATAAAGAGATAAATGATCCTAAACCTTATTTATGGCCCATCTACGTAAGTAGATTACTGTGAAATTATTGTTACGTAGATGACATCGTCAACGAGATGTTTAAATATGACCGCAAAAAACAGCAAAGGTAGGTAGGAATATCTTCATATTTAAGAAGGGCTCGTAAACAGAATTAAGACGGTAAGTATCTCACGAAAAGCGACTATGCCCATAAACTTTTGCAACTTAAGGAGGGTTTGCTGTTGACCTTTCAGAAGTCCTTTTCTGAGTAGCAGTATTAGGTAAAAAATTACATAATCGTTATCTTAAATATTTTTAATTCTTAGCGTATTAGACATTAGTCTTGCCTGATGGATTGTCAGAACTTCTTTCTATGATCTGGGGTCGGAACTGAACACGTAAGCGGCGGACGCTTGCATTATAAATCATACCTATGATAGTGGGCTGATTAATGATGGGTGGTCTTGGTCAGCAGTTCCGGAAAATGAAAATATTGTCATTTTCGCATAACTTTTTACGTAAATTCAGATAAATGTATTTGGATAAAACTGTAGAATTTTATGTAGAGCATAGACTACCATGGAATAGGCGTGGGTATCTTGTCATGTGAAGCCTTCGTATTTCTTTACATACGCTTACTAAGACTCTTATGACACACAGTGCACGTGTTAGAAAAATTAACAAGTTTAAGAAAACTAACTAAATCTTGCAGATTTTATTGCGTGTGTAAAGTTTACCAACCTAACTAATTTATTTGGCATCATGAATGTAAACAAATCAATCTTTCTTCTTCTAATTACTACTAAACATGCAAACTTTTCAATTTCAATTGGGAGCATAATGGGTTAGCGGTCCGAATTGGAATAATTAACAGTTGAAATTAATCATTTTGAGGAGTCGCTCACGACGTCGGCCGGAAACCGGGCGAGACCGCGCGGCGCGAGCTCTGATCAAGGTCGTCCTTGCACGCAAGCTTCTTCGCCAGCCGGGCGACTTGTTGCGCCGGGCTATCACCAAACCCATCGCCGGAAGCGGTGAGGATGTGATCTCCGGAGGTTCGTCAAGATGTAAACAGTGGCCGCGTCGGCACGTACCTGCGGCTCCCGGCGCGCGTATTCGTCGTCATCGGAAAGCGCGTCCATGTCGTCGTGGGCGGCTGCACGCGGGCGGTGGGCGCGCGCTCGGCGGCGGCGCGCAGTCCGCGGGCGCGCGCGTGCTCCGTGGCTGCTCTCGCTGCGGCACCGCGCCGCTCCGCCCGCGTCCGCCGCGGCACTGACGGCTCGGCCCGGCGCGCATCGATCGCGCCCGGCCCGCCCGCCTCGCCGCGCCGCCCGTCACCACTCCACGTGGCCGCCCGCCCTCGTGCTCGCATCGCAAACCGACAACTAACTTTTTATGAAAGCGATTACTACGTTCCGATATCGTAAACAAACGTAAAACTAACCTATTTACCACAAACCAGTAAAATTTTGCGGTTTGACACGATGCAACCTATGTTTTCCGAGTAGAGCTTTCGCATAAGTCGTTTAAACCGCCCGCCGCAACTTTGTTTTACTGCGACTGCGCGACCGGAGGCGCAACAGATAGTCGCAATGAGCGCGAAATTCTAATCGTAAACGTCAGAGCTGGACGTGACGATCCTCACCGGCGACGCATTAGTTATTACAGCAGCTCCCGAAATAGAGTGTTGGTTTTAGATTATACGCGTAAAGCCGATGTTATAGTGGCGCGACGTCAGAGGCCAGTGTCGACGCAATCAGGTGGTGTTACGATGAGACGTCACAGGCGCCGGGGCCGCGTGGTGGGGTGCAGGTCGCCCGGGGTCTTCGACGGTGATGCATGCACGGGTAGCATACCTGCTTGATGAGAGGGAGCAGGGTTCTCTCGATGGAGTGTGTTTTGATTCGCACGAAGTCGAAGTCCGGCAGGCTGGCGGCCGCCATGGCTGGCGCAGACGCGACTGCGCGTGTGCGCGCGCAGCCGGCGGCGGGCGGCCATTGGGCGGCGCGCGCCCGTCACGTGGCGCCCCCGCCCGCCCGCCGCGCCGCCCGCCCGCCGTAAACATCAGATTGCGTGTTTAGGTTATCGTGTACTCCTGTGGGCTTTTAAAACTACAGGTTGGCGTGTTTTACTTTGTTTTCATTTCTAGCGCCAATTGTATACTCATATTTTTTACTTTACTTTCTCCATTCCGAGAATCAAGATTGTTTCATGTGGAACTGGATTTTTACCGGATTGTTTTATTTCAAAAAGTTTATTTGACTCAAATATTAGCATCTACGAGAGTAGACATTTGCTATTATATTACTAGATTTATAACGATCATAATATAGATAATAGTCGATGACTTTCTAGGTTAATGTTTATTAAGTAACCTATAATCATCTAAAAGAAATCACAGGAACAGGATAAGGGTTGAAATAAAATGTTATATGAATGCACAATTTATTTATTAGTTTAAACTCTCAAACAGATAACTAGTAAACTTATTATTAATCATTGGCACATTATCACAAAAGTTGTCAATGATCCAATTCCATTACATTTAATGGCATTATCAAATTCCATGAAACCTATTCTGCCTACTTCAGCCTGAGATCTATTTTCTTCAGATATTTTATCTACACATTGTACCTATACAAATTTTAAAAGTTTAACAAAAACTATACAAAACCTATAATACTGATACATAATGTATATCGAGGAGTTAGAACAGTGAACAGAAATACAATATATTTAGTATGTGGCCACAAAATAAGTAACTTACAAAGTAAACTATTTACTAAAGCTTTGGTAATTGTATTACGAAGAATGACGTATGACAGAACATATTGCTAAATATTACATTATTGGTGGTCTATTTCAAATATCATTATGTTACATAAATTACAAAATAATAATATTCAACCTTTATACTTAACAATACGAGTAATATAATTATTTTTCTAAATCTTGATTGACTATGTTATTATAGTGTTTAGGGATAGAGTTAAACTACATAAACTAGACGATGTAATTATTCAAACGCAGTTGACTGGTCATAGTTCATGAGTCGTGACTGCTCATTGAATTGCAAATCCGCGAGTGAATAAATAGGATGATAGACGTACGCATCCGCATACGTAATTAATTAGCGGATGAGCGGACGTGGATATGATAAATTAATATTCGTATACCATTTATCTGAATGCGTATTCCAATAAATTATGCGTGGACGGAAACAATAGAACCGCGGTTGCAAAAACAATGTATATTGTTGCTGAAATTCTAGAGCTTTTTGAACTTTTAAAGCTCCTCGTATTATTTATTGGATTTATTTAAAAGTAAACAGTTATTCACATTTAGGTGTCAAGAAATTGATTCAACAATAAATAATATGTTTTATAGGTATTTACTATAAAATACCAAACATTCTATGACCAACCATCTCTACCATTTTTATTCGGTCGGTTGATAAAACAATTCAAATGGCTAATTATAATACACTCCCATACTGATTTGTGGGCGGCGTTTGTTATACAGAGGCTGTTTGGAGCTAGTGCTGTCTTGCGAGCTATCCGACATCCACGGGCTTTGTCCGGGGGAGTTCCGCACTTTCCTCTTGCGGAGGCTCTCGGTCGGGCCGAGAGTGGGCCTCAGAAGCTGCTTGAAGCGGAACGGTCCCTCCGTGTAGTCGTCGTCCGAACTGAAGATAGGGGTGGCGAGGATCTCGGGCGAGTTGCGCAGGATCTTACGGAAATCTGATTCGGGGTCGTGCGCCTGGTTGTAGACCGGTCGTGGCGGCGCCTCAGACTTTTGGGCGTTCTTTACGAGCTCGTTTATCTTGTTGCTGTAAAGTTTAAGATGTTAATATCGTAATTGTATCGTTAAGTTCATGGGTGATTTCTTCATTTTATTGTCAGAATTCTACACAAGTAAATATTTTAGCATCTAAGACGCAATTGTAAATATTATCTTAATGATCTTTAGCATTTTGTTAAATGTCAGTTTCGTCAATAACATAACATTCTAAGAACAGTACAGAGCTACGACATGCAAAAACTAATGAGACATTTTTACAGATGGGAACCACAACTACGTTAGCAACCATCCTAATCCATACCCGTTGCTCCTACACCCGGCGAAGCATGCGTCAGAGAAATAGGTTTAGTATCAAGGCCAGAATCGCGCGAACTCGTGCTGGGGGGAGTACCTGACTAGCCCGCCGCACTGGCGGCTGCACGGCAGGTTCTGCCAGTTCTGGTTGGGCTGCAGGTGCCGGTCCTCGCAGTGCTCATTGCTGTGGGCTTGGTATCTGGAAAGGTAATTTTGATGTTTAAATACTTGAAAAAACCGCATCCAAATCCGTCCATCCGTTTATGAGCTACACACATTTGTAACCACACACATAATGGAACTTATAAAACCCCGTGTTTTGCTTGAGGAAAAGGGGGTGTTATAAGTCTACACTTATTTCCACAAACCAGCACAAAACTAACGCCCGTATTCACAAACGGCTTGCTTATGTGAAGCAGCAAATCGAATACACAGCGTTGAATAGAGCTCTGTTATTGGTTCATGTGACACCCTGTGCGTCCACGCGCACTGTGAGACCTCATAGTAATGTTTGTGAATACGGGCGTAAGTATTATTATAATTTACAATGTCATAAACAGATAATAACATTAAATAGTTAAACCTCAGGTACAGTGATATTAGTGTCCCTTTCGGGATTTAAAACCGCAACGCTGACCGCAGGATTAGAAGGACGGAATTATCGCGGAATATAATGTTTTACACTAATATCCTGTGATGAGGGAGTTCTCTCACTTAAATCCGTTATGTTAAGTATTTAAGCTTTTTTGCATGATAATAGGTGGGTATATTATTTTAATATCCATGGTAATAAAACTATTGGCCACATTGGCTTAGTGCGTAATATAAGTACCTACGTGAAATTCATTCACATTTCTTCCATACATTTTGTAATCAAATTTCCAAACTAAGTACAATGCAAACGTAACATACTTCTTTATTGAAGACTCTAGCATCAAAAAGTCGTACTACAATCCAAATAGCACTACTTAATTAATTAGGATAGGTAACAAGCTACAATATAAACTTCGACTTATAACAAAACAGACCTTGTGGGTTTGATCTCAAAGTCTTTCTTACTCAGCAATGGCTGATCCCAAGGTCTCGCTGGGCTCTCCAGAAATTCTGGCGAGGGACTGGTGGCAGATCCGTAACGAAAGCATAACAAAGTGAAGAAAAAAAAAACGATTGCATTAATATAAAATCTATTCATAACAAGAGATACGAAATGACTGAAATATTTTGTGTGCCCTAATGAACCTAAATAATTTCCTAAAATTTACTTAACGAATAATTCGCTTGTAAATGTTAGGAATTTTCTGATAAGTGGGTAAATTAACCCGTGGAATATCATGTTAGCCTTTGTGATTGGTTGGTGAATTCTTGATTAAGCAAAAACGGCAGCCGGCATGAGATTTGATAGCTGATTAACTATTCAATTTGCCTTTTAGTAACTGAAGGCAGGGATGGGCATGGACAGCTATACATTTTTGAAGTGGTGTGACTTTTTGTTTACTCGTATTCGTATATATTATTGCCTTGTTACTTTATAGTCTTAAGGAACTGTCTTATGTAATGCTTAACACAACCAATTTTTGATACAGGGATTCATTTTAGGTTGACAATCTAAAACCTAGCGATAAAACTGCCTGAATTGTCTGAATTATGCCGTTTCGATCTGTTATTTCACTCGAATGTGTCTATTTTGTGGTATTACAATAAAGTATTTCTATCTATATCTATTTAAAGATTCACACAATGTATAGTGTAGATAATAGAAATCCGATACAGAAAATAATAATGAATTTAATTTAATAATATGAATGTACCTAATTGGGTTGACCTATTGCTTGTCAATAGAACGTAAGCCACAAATGGACCCTTAATCGTATCAGGCAATCGCTGCCACAATACACTGACAATCATCTGGTCATTACCTGGATAGTCTGCTCGCGTCCTGCTCCAGCTGCGAAGGCTGGCCGCGCACGATGGCGGGCACGAGCGTGAACCCGGGCGGCGGCCGGTACTCGTCCGGGGGTCGCTGCACGTCGTGCAGACGGATACCCGGCTTGTTCCGCCTGAGGTTCTTGTGGACCTCTTGGTTCTTGTCGTGGACCTGGAACAATTTTATAGTTTTCATTAGCGTCATGTATTACGTTTAGTCGTTGGTGTATTCGCATTTGTAATAAATTACATACAAGGTTTGGTGGGTTTAGGGATGGCTAATTGGTGTTTGAAATTTGTAACTTTTAACGAAGTTACGAGCATGACGTTATAGTGTATCAGGTTGAAAAAGCTACTGTGCCAGGAGGTGGGGTAAGTATGTTTTTGGATAAAGGAATTGGGTTGTAGACTGTATCTTGTGTATCTTATCTAAGGCTGAGTTGCACCACCTACCACAGTAACTATAACGATAACCGGTGTTTTTGATAGTTTGACAGATTTTTGACGTTTGTTAAAATTAAAGTAAGATGGTGCAACCCAGATTATGAATGTAACGTACCCGGTCAGCGAAGGTCTGCAGCTGTGCGGCGCGCTCCTGCACCGAGTACTGCTGCATGAGCTGCTGCGGCGTGGGTGGCGGCGCGTGCTGCGGCGGCGGCGGCGGCGCCCGCCCTATTGCCCACTTGCGCCGGGCGGTGTAGCCGCGTATACCGTACCAGTCTCAGCATGTAACGTACCCGGTCTGCGAAGGTCTGCAGCTGTGCGGCGCGCTCCTGCACCGAGTACTGCTGCATGAGCTGCTGCGGCGTGGGCGGCGGCGCGCGCCCCTTCATACACTTGCGCCGGGCCGTGTAGCCGCGTATATCGTACCAGCCTCAGCATGTAACGTACCCGGTCAGCGAAGGTCTGCAGCTGTGCGGCGCGCTCCTGCACCGAGTACTGCTGCATGAGCTGCTGCGGCGTGGGCGGCGGCGCGTGCTGCGGCGGCGGCGGCGGCGCGCGCCCCTTCGCCCACTTGCGCCGGGCCGTGTAGCCGCGGAAATCTGGTGGTTAAAGTAATTATTAATAGCAATGTATTGTTTAAAATTTAGGTACGTTCTCTAAAATGGGAAAAATGCTATTTTCTAACTTTATTTTAGCTACAAAGTCAGGACACGTAATACAACAGATACAGTGAATAACGAGGCATCGTCACAAAGCTCCCACAGTTTTTTACTTTTTATTAAATTTACCGATATGCAGTATTAAAATTAACCTACCCTGGACTGACTGGAGGAGAATGCCGACTGGCATTAAGTCTACCTTATTTGCAGTGTAATTTTTAAATAAATACTGGCAATTTTTCGTGTTCAGTTTCGAGAAACTCAATTTTAAGTGGATTCGTTAAAAATCTTGTAAATTGGACGCACCAACTTTATCATGAGGCAAACCTAAAAACCTCTGCAACTTTATTTACCTTCCGCTGAAGCTTCGACGTCGGCAAAAAAGTTTCTTACACCGACTTGTATCACTTAACTTAAACTAAGCACAAGTACCTACTTATTATTTTGTTACAAGGGATTGCACTTACGGCTCTGTATGACGACGGCAGCGCGCGCGGTGTCGATGTTCTCCTTGTTGCCGGACATGATCTCGTTGCTGTCGCTGTCGTCTGACGTCATGCGCCGCAGCGCCTTCGCTTTCATCATGGCCTTGTTTTTGTTTGGAACACCTGTGTGACAGTTTTTTGCATTTACATATTGTTATGCATGGATTTTTATGTAAGACAGTGTTCGGAGATTCAAAATGCAGATAACTGGTATCTATTGACTCTCTCCATGTCAGTTGTATGTCACTTCTGCACACAATACCCGTAAGCTACCTCTGCAGTGTCGGTGCAAATCTCTGATTCCCCTGTTCCCATTAGAACTTTTGTTGCTGGCTGCTATCTCTCCTTCTGACGATTCCTGGTGAGCTCAAATTGCTGTAACATAAAACGTACCAGGCTTTTGATGTCTCCTCTGGCTCTCCTGCTCCCGCTGGAACTCCCTGGCCAGCTGCCGCTGCCGCTCCTGCAGGCGCTTCCTGGTGAGCCAGCCGCGCACGTGCCGCTGCAGCGTCAGCACCGAGATGGCCATCTGCGCCTTCAGCCGCTGGAAGTAGCGGCGCGCGAGCCAGCCGCGGGCGCATGCTTGCACTAGCACCACTTTTCTTATCTAAAAATGTATTATTAGACCAGTTAGGTAGGATTTAGGGACCAACTCGTATATTTATTATAAAGAATGGAATTCAAAGTGTTTAAGTTTTACCTGTTCCTCATAAATTCTAGCCAGTACTTCAACGTGGTAATACTTGAGGAAGACCTTCGATTTACCAAGAGCCCATCCATCCATTTTAAGTCTCATAAGTAGGATACGACATGTATCACGATTTGGTTTCACTTCTTCGTCATAGCTATACGCTAAGAATCCATACCTGCAAGAAAATGTTTTAAAAATTCATGATTTAAATATCGTTTTTCGTTGAATATGAGGTAGATACTGGTTGCTATAAACACCCACCTCTTCAAAAACTCTTCAAATGGAAGACGATGGGAGAATCCATTTTGCCTTATTCTAATTGTCTCCAGCACCCCAGTATACCTAAGTTGCTTTAATATCTTTGCGGAGTCGAAATGTTTCGGCGATCGGGAGTCGTTTGGTTTCAAGCAGCGGACAAATTGAGGGGTTCCACTGACCATCTTTTGGAGCAGTTCCATCAACGAATATCGGAAGTAAGTGGCCACGGTTTGCTGGGCACGGGATTGCGAAGCAAGACCTCGACTGTTAAATCGATCCTGGAAACAGTATTTTACAAAAACTAATTTTAATAGACAATTATTAATATAGCTAAGGTATGTAATTATAACAAAAAATGAAATACTTAATTACGCACTAGGTATGTAATTATAAATTAAATTTCACTTTCTATTGATTTAATCTTTAGTAAGTGCCTAAATTATATTGTGAATTGAGTAGGTAGTTATTAGTAGGATGAAATAAGTAGGTATGAGTGGAAATAATGTATATTATGCATTTACCCGAGAATCTCCGTAGACAGGACTTTCTAAAGTTCTAGAATCAATATCTCCTTGAAGAGGTGAATATAAATTCCCAGTCTTAGTAATAGGGCACTGAAACAGGAATCTGATTATGTCATACTGGCTCTGCCTCATCAACTGGACCACTTCTGGTGGTAAGAAGTTCCTGTTCTTCTCCAAGAAACCGTCAGCCTGGTAAACCACGCGGCCCGCAAAGTGATGCACAGCAAAACATATTGCATCAGACTTCGGCCGGACGTAATATTTACTCTTTACATTATTGTGAAACTTTTCTGCAAAAAAATATTGCATGCATTTTATTGTAATGTTTCAATTCGTAGAATGCAATTCGGTATATTATTCAAGTAAATGTTGCAATAACGTTAACAAAATTATCAAGATTAAAATGTGCAAATTAAAACTGTACCACGCAGAGACACCTTGTTTAAGTATATGATTTACATTTATAACGAGTCTAGGTGTGCTAGTGGTTAACGAACTGAAAAATTCAAGAATTCCTATTCCATGTTCTTGTAGTTAGGTTCTTATACTAGGTTAACGTTTGATTTATAGTTTTAAGTAATTAACATAAATATAATTTCCATTTTGTTTTATCTTACCGATGAGAGTTCTGTCTGATGCCCGCGGGAATCTGCTTTCTTCGTCCAGCAGAGCTAGCAGTCCCATAGGTCTAGACAGGAGCATGTCCAGCACAGGCCTGTTGTCTGAGAACTCCACCAGGTCCACGGGAACCCCTTCGGCCATGTACTCTTGCTGCTCCCAAGTGAAGATGTGCTGGTTGAAGTAGTACTGTATTTGCTCGTTTGCAACGTTAATACAGAGCTGCTCGAATGAATTTTTAGTGAAATTTTCGAATCCAAAGATGTCAAGTATCCCTATGGATAGTTGTTCATTGCTGCAAAAACCACAAGTTCAAGTATGAAATCACATGAAGATTTTTCTAACAATTTTCTCGTAATGTCTCTACTTCCTAGGTTGCTCAGTTGTTTACCTGTGTGGTCTGTTTTGGCAGAGTAGAGCGTTGATTCTCTCCACTATCCTGTCGAAGGCTCTGGCGTAGAGTCCCCTGGCGGTCGCGTCCCTTGCTACGGCAGCCTCGGTGGGCGAACTGTGCCTGGCTATGGTCTCTCCCCTGGCCACCACGCTGCTGCTCGTAAGGCATTCCCGGAGGTCTGCAGTCTCCACGCCGAGGAGACATGATGCTAACAACGAATAAAAATTGGTCAACATCTACGTGTTAATAGAAATTAATTATAACATATAAATGTTTTACAATAATATTATACTGGCTGGTTATAAATTAAAGATCTTTCACTCGTAACATAATATTTTTTATTGATCAAAAATAAAACTGTATTTTACCTCTGTGAAGCGGCGCTGTGTCGATAATAGTAGCTCTGTTGTCTGCGTTGTCTTCGCCAGCCATTTCCCCGAATTCGATATCGCCGAGATGCAAAATAGCTGCCAGCATTTTGTATATTATTTGTACCTCTTCTTCTTGGAATCCAACGACCTGATATAAAAATCGCCGAATCTGTTTATTTTTGTCTGCTAAATAATTATTTTTACAGGTTAATTTCACCAGTACAGTTAGTCGATGTACGAGGGGCGGCTGAAAAGTTTTGAGCCTAAGTATCTTCAAGTGTTATTATTGACTCGCACTAAATTTAATTAATTTGCCAATAACCTCCTTAGTATATGTACAAAGTTTCATTTCATTAGCATCATCACGCTTTTAGTAATTAATCCGTAAACATCATCATGTCTCAGTCATCCGCGCAATGTACGAAATTGAAGTACACAGTTGTCATAAAATTCCTCAAAAAGAGGAACAAAACGCTGACGGTAACATTTGAAGAGATGTCTACAGTTTATGGGGAGTCTGGGCCTTCATTTGCCATCATGAAAGATTGGATCCGATAGTTCAAGCATGGCAGGGAGTCGCTAAAAGATGACCACAAGTCAGGGCGGCCAGATTTCGCCATTAACGAATAAAATAATGAAAATTTAAAGAATCTTGCTTTAGAGATCAGCGAATAAAGCTGTGACAGATAGCTGAAGCCATAGGCATTAAGCAAGGAACGTATCGGCGATATTTTTCATACTCATTTGCACATGAAATAAGGGTGCGCGCTATGGGTGCCAAAATGCTCACACCGCTCGACAACCAGCGTCGAGTCACAACTTCGCAGGAGTTTTAGGACATCTTTGGCCATATTCCTAATAATTTTTTTTCTCACATTGTCACTATTGATAAATAATAGATCCGGCAGTACGATCTAGAGTCAAAATAAGAGTCAATGCAATGGATTCAAAAGGGAAAACGCCGCCGCGGAAATTCAAAGTGGAGCGATCGACACCCGAGCTCATAACCACTATTTTTGGGATTGTGGAGAAATTTTATTCATTGACTACCTACTTAAAAAAAACTACAATAAACGGGGATTATTATGCTGTACTGTTGATAAGGGTGCGTCAAGTGGTTGTTGAAATATTAAGAGGCAAACTGGCGAAAGGAAATCTGTTATTTCAAGACAATTCGCCCGCGCACACCACGCATGTTGCAAGGCTTGCCCCGGGTAAAACTGGATTTCAAGAAATTAATCACCCACCACACAGTTTAGTCCAAATCCCTAGCTATTTTGTCTAATTCTCAAATTGGAAAGAAGTCCTCCAGGAACAAGGATTTTTGAGTGACAAAGAAATGATGGCGGCGATAAAGGCTCATTTCGAAGGCAAAGATTGCGAATTTTTTTTCAGTGGGTTAAAAGCTCTTTTACACAAATGTAATAAGTCCGTTGTAGTAGAGGGAGATTAAATAGAAAAATATATTTTTTATACTTTTCTATCGGCATTTTTAATACCCTAGGCTCAAAACTTTTCAGCCGCCCCTCGTAGTATTCGATTTCATATTGTTTTCGCTTCATTACTTCACGAGGCGAACGTAATCAAAAAGTAAACACCGGCAGATGTTGGCGGTTGTACCAATCATAAATATCTATTAGGAATGATGCATTGTATGAAGCTACAGATCTTACAAAAAGTTAGTTTCAAGGATGAATTAAAATAAGATTCTAAGGGGATATTCTACGCTTTTTCCTACCTTGAAAGCCTGATTGAGCTGCCTCCACCGATGCACGTTGTGCTCGCGGTGGACCACAGACAACGGCTGCAGGTACCGGTGCCGAGACTTGAGCTGCTCATCCAGGTAGAACTTCCTCCAGCGACCCTCGCTCTCCAGCCCGTCGTATAGGTAGTAGAACACGTGGAAGTTGCTTTCACCCCTGTAAGTTTAATTCGTCCCTATTATTCGTCCCCTACGTTAAATAATGATACTTATGACTGGTGTAAAATTTCAGTTCGTTCTAAGGTACTAACCTAAACTTTTTAAAAGCGGGATGTTTATTTCTACAAATCTTGGATTTATTGCAGTAAAGTTGTTTTAGAATCGGAAAAGTACTCGAAGCTTTCGTTGTAAAGATTGTATTTATTTAAAGTAGAAATCAGCTTTTACCGAGAACGGGTAAGTAATCATTTATTTAATTAATAGAACAGGTTAATAATACAATTACATGATCGTATTTAATATAACAAACTGCTTTCTTACAAGAAAGTCCATAATTACTGAATCGACGTTTCAGTTCCCACATTTAACTTATACCTACTTTTCCATTAGAATTTCAATGTTTTATTTGCATTTATTATCCTGCTTTCGCCTCCGAGATTTATTTTACCATGTAGTACCCCTGTACGACAACCCAATCCGCACACAATATTCAGCGTAGTAGTATTAAAAAACAAAAGAGCGGGCAACCCCACCCCTACCACGCTGTGGGCTCGGTGTCCGAGCGGTCTCATTCCTTTGTGCGCACGCGCAACGACCGCACGCAGTATAAGAAAAATATATTTTTAATTGATTAAAAATATAACTGTATTTTACCTCTGTGAAGCGGCGCTGTGTCGATAATAGTAGCTCTGTTGTCTGCGTTGTCTTCGCCAGCCATTTCCCCGAATTCGATATCGCCGAGATGCAAAATAGCTGCCAGCATTTTGTATATTATTTGTACCTCTTCTTCTTGGAATCCAACGACCTGATATAAAAATCGCCGAATCTGTTTATTTTTGTCTGCTAAATAATGATTTTTACAGATTAATTTCACCAGTACAGTTAGTCGATGTAGTATTCGATTTCGATTTCATATTGTTTTCGCTTCATTACTTCACGAGGCGAACGTAATCAAAAAGTAAACACCGGCAGATGTTGGCGGTTGTACCAATCATAAATATCTATTACGAATGATGCATTGTATGAAGCTACAGATCTTACAAAAAGTTAGTTTCATGGATGAATTAAAATAAGATTCTAAGGGGATATTCTACGTTTCTTCCTACCTTGAAAGCCTGATTGAGCTGCCTCCACCGATGCACGTTGTGCTCGCGGTGGACCACAGACAACGGCTGCAGGTACCGGTGCCGGGACTTGAGCTGCTCATCCAGGTAGAACTTCCTCCAGCGACCCTCGCTCTCCAGCCCGTCGTATAGGTAGTAGAACACGTGGAAGTTGCTTTCACCCCTGTAAGTTTAATTCGTCCCTATAGGTACCTACGTTAAATAATGATACTTATGACTGGTGTAAAGTTTCAGTTCGTTCTAAGGTCCTAACCTAAACTTTTTAAAAGCGGGATGTTTATTTCTACAAATCTTTGATTTATTGCAGTAAAGTTGTTTTAGAATCGGAAAAGTACTCGAAGCTTTCGTTGTAAAGATTGTATTTATTTAAAGTAGAAATCAGCTTTTTCCGAGAACGATTAAGTAAATCATTTATTTAATTATTAGGACAGATTAATAATTACAATTACATGATCGTATTTAATATAACAAACTGTTTTCTTACAAGAACGTCCATAATTACTGAATCGACGTTTCAGTTCCCACATTTAATTTATACTTTACCATTAGAATTTCAATGATTTGGTTGCATTTAATGTTTTTAACAATATCTGGACACCCTTTTATTTACGTCAAAACCATCTGCCGGAATCTGGGTTTATTATTTTCTTAATTATATAGATAGCAAGGCAAAGGCGAGTGCGAACCACAAAGTACACAGTTCCATTGTGGCTCAACAGATGGTGTATTTTGGGAGTGAGCGTTAAAGCTCTAGCTTTAGAATAAAGCTGATGTAGCTTTATCAAATTTTTAGTGCTCTACCAAACATCAATTTCGCCTACCATAACCAATACATAATCTAACAATGTTTTATATTACTACGTTTTACTTTAATTTATAAATACTGAATAGGTTCATATCATAACACGTATCATGTAACTACTCGTATTGAATGAGGAGTTAAACTCACAAAGCCTGATGCACCACTCTCGACTGTTCCAGAAGGTACACGGATATCCTCGCCCCGGAGATCCTGCCGACCCTCATCATGGACATGTCCAGGTACTTCCCGAAGCGGGAACTGTTCGCGTTGATCCCTGTTCGGGCGTTGCCGAAAGCCTCCATGATCGGATTCACTTGGAGAATCTTTTCTTCTACATTGCCACTTTGTGTCTGTAAACAAGATTTTGTTTTATTTGGGTATCTGCAAGAATAAATGTTTAACCCGAAGGTTAACTGGCAGAGAATTCCTTATGGCTTTAAGTTCGTCTTATGTTCCAATAATACCTGTATGGCGTTAAAGAATAAATAAATATCAAAGTAGTAAATAACGAATACTGAACAGTGTTTTTCGTACCCAGATAGCTCTTGCTTACGTCCAGCCGGATGGAAAAATTCCAAATCGTAATTTAACCTGACCAGGAATTGAAATATGACACACAATGCTTAATCAAATTTGACAACAATAAGGTGAAATAGAAGTTAAAAGAATATCATATCACAAAATAATATTAGACAAGTACCTACTAGTCCTGAAACTGGTATTTATTTCGACCACGGTCATTATTACGAACGACCATTAGTAGTTCAATGTCAATGTCCATTTTCGCGACGATCCCGAGATAACTTTGTTGGCAAAAACACGTCGTTAGTGAATATGACATCATCATTATTGCGATGCACGAGTACCTACTATGCTACAGGATAATGGATGTTACGTTTATTTGTTACACAAACGTCTCTACAATTAAAAACACAATGCATCTGAGTAATAAGTCAGCTAATTACATTCCTTTTGTTCAACTAAAGAAAGAATCAATGAAAATAAATTGTATATCAGTTGTTTTAACAATAAAATTCATCCATCAATAAGTGCTGCCACAATGATCATAACGAATAAAAGTAACAATTTGCTTAGTTATAAAAGATTCATCCGTTTATTTTGATGTGAATGTAATTTATGCAATGAAATAATTGGGTGGAGTATCCTTAAAACATATTTTGCTTTGTAAATACTGCTCACGTTTCGCCGCGGTTCTGCTTGAGCGCACTATTTTACTTGTATTTAAGTTGGTACTTATAAAATCTTCGGGGAGCTCTAATTAATTGAACGATGTTAATAATTTTAACATACTAATGTTGATTTTATTTATTTACAGGTAAAGTGTGATCTATGTGTACCTTCGATAAGAATACAAGTTGCTTCAGCAAAAGGTTGGCTGACTCGGTTTTGCCAGCACCGCTCTCGCCCGAGATGACTATGGCCTGATGCTGCTTCTGATGCATGAGCGCCTGGTGAGCGGCGTCGGCCACCGCGTAAATATGGGGCGGGTTGTCCGACCGGCACCGACCCTGGTATATTTGTTGACTCTGTAAAAAAAATACGAAGTAAGTCACAATATTCTGAAGGCTATTTTTCATGAGGAAATGATATTGTTTACCACCCTAAAATACGTTGTAATTGCACGTACTAAATAGAAATATTTTTGTACGTTCAGTGATGTATGATTGTAACTAAAATAAATTGTACCGTCGGAAAAGTAAAACTCTAATTTAAAAATTTATTAATAACCAATAAATCTATATTAAAGGTTATTTCTGTAAGGAAAGTGGCACAATTCTTGAAAATTCCTGTATCACCGAACCGTAGCGTGTTGCTGTCTTTAAGTAGCTAACTCCTGACAAATTACTTTCTATTATTGTAAAATGCGACTCTCACTCTGATTTATGATGTGTGGTAAGTAAGTAGTAATTGTTTTTCAAAACTGCTCTCGAGACTGAAATATTTAACATTGAAAGTAGGTACCTTATACTAAAGACGATTTGGTTCGCAAAATACTTTTGACTGACACTAATACATAATTATTGCTTAGAGAGTATTGTTAACATAGTAAGCATGCATAATATTCTGTAGGTGCTAAATTACTAAAGGTCAACTCAAAACGACTACAGGTTTATTCCAAAGTCAATAGTTAGTAAAGGTCGGCAACTTTCTCTCAACGCCGATCTAAAAGACTTACCGAAGTATTATTTACCTTCGTCGTGTAGATTCCGATATCAGTGAAAGGGTTGACCGCGACCAAAATGTCTCCAATATACGTGTATATTTGATTCTGATTGTATCTCTTTTGGAGTTGCTCCACAATAGCGTCTTCTGTTAAAACTTCTAGAGTAGCTAAGTCATCGGTATACATTTTCTCTGGTTTCGCTTTTCGGTGAGATTTGAGTTTCCCTCTTTTAGTGGTGGCATCTGGTGCTCGACAGCTGCGGCCCTCGGCTCTTTGCCGTTTTATTTCAGCTTGGAGCTCTTTGCGGATCTGAAATCATTTCGAGAGATAAATAAGTGCCTGTCTCTTCTATTTTTCATAGGTACTCGAGTTATCTTTTTGAGAATTCATACTAAGTAAGTGAATCATTTAGATAGTTACATCGTGATAGAGTGCTATTATCAAAAATAAGTTTCGTCAAGCGATTAAAGGCCATTATTGTTATCTTTATGACCGTTACTTGCACTGTGATAAGCATTATCGCATACCTTGAATGAACTATTCAACGAGATGAAATAGAATTTCTGAAAAATTATATAATTTTTGAAAAAAATTACCTTATCTTCGAAAGCACTAACTGCTAATAGCAATGGATGTTCAAGGAGTTCTCTTGCAAAGGGTCTTTGATTCATGTCCTTGATGAGACAGTCAGCAATGAAATCTACGAGCTGTGGCGAGAACAAATCTGGATGGGATAAAGATGGTGGAGGATTTCTCGGAATTTGAAAGAGGGCTCTCATTGGATGTAATCCCGATAGTGGAGGTTCTCCTTCTGCCAACTCAATGGCTGTGATACCAACTGACCACACATCGCATCTGCAGTCATACGACTGATCCAATTGCTGTTCGCATGCGATGACCTAAAATTAAAAGAGTAGGTAAATATAATTTCACTTTGTATCCTGTCAATGTTGTGATTTCCTTATTAAGTAGATAAAACATACTTCTGGAGCCATCCAATAGGGGGTGCCTACTGACGTATTTCTTCTCGCAGCTGTGGCTGCCAGATGCGAGGACACTCCGAAGTCGACCAGTTTCACTTCGCCATCTTCGGTGAGAAGTATGTTGTGACCTTTGACGTCACGGTGCATGCACCGGTGAGCATGGAGATGCGTGAGGGCACGTACGGTCCCACGTAGGACGTAGGCCAGCTGAGGCTCCGTAAGACTGCTGCCACGAGCCCTCAATCCAGCACACAGGTCAGTCACTGAACCACCAGTACATAGCTGAAAGATTTGCAATGTTATGTTATTTAACCATTGACATCAGTTTAGCATTAATATTACAGATATTGTATGAACTTACTTCCATAACGAACCATATTTGGTCGTCATCAGCCGATAGACCACGTTTGAGGAACAGACCAAAGAACTCAGGAATATTGGGATGACTGGACAGATCGCGGAAAACTAAAAATTCCTCTTCAATCTCCTCAATATTTTCCGTTATGTTCTCCAATATCTGAAATAGGAAATGAGTATTTTAAAATATCATTCAATATTAGATAACCTAGTGGTATTATGTTACATACATTGCCACCTAATGTAAAGCGAGAGGCTAACCGAACAAACCGTGTATTGTTTTTGCGGCCTTGGCACGAATACAGCGTTTTGAGATAACATCTACGCAATCAATTAAAAGTCGTACTAACAATACACGCCATAAAAATACTTTGACCTATTATTTACCTGCAGATCTAATTTAAATTCAACAGCACTTTTTTGGTGATATTAATTAGTTTTATTTATTATCGTGCATTCATTATATCGCAAATTTTCTTGCCGGCAACTTGAGTTTTCTTTACATTCATCCATATTTATGTTAATATCTATCATCGTTTGTGATGACTGCTACATAGAGCACTTTATATAAAAATACCTACAAGTAAGTCTTTTCTGAAAATAGCTTTGAAATTGAATAATATCTGCATAACATAATTTTATATGAATTATATGAGCTACAATATAAAAACTGTAATTGAAGCGTTGATAATCAACTGGATCTTCTTGCGTGAATATGTGTTGTTACAGTTGATTGCGGTACGGTGCATAAAACAGTTTGATTAATTGCCTTTATTCACGGAGATCTTCCCCTTTAAGGATAACACATGAATCATGCATTATATGTAGAGATATAATAAGATGCAGCGCAAATAGCTAACATTGCTTTTGTTTTTCTAATCTCTTTGATAAATCGCCTTAACGTCAGCACAGAACTAAATCACTTTAATCTTCCAACTGTTGAATAATAATGCCCACCTCATAATTTTATTGTTCCTATAATTAATTCAGTATGCTTATTAAATTGCACCTTTTTATGTGCTTAGACAGAGTCACGACTTCTACTCTTCTCATCTTTATGAAATAGACATCGCCAAACAGTCACAGCCGGACCAATCCAAAATGTCATGTAGTCTATTTGACTGTCGCTCATTTCCAATATCTCGCTTTAGGCTGGGTTGCACCATCTTACTTTAAATTTGACAAACGTCAAAAATCTCTCAAACTCTATACAAAAGACACCGGTTATCGTTATAGTTACAGCCAAAGTTAGGTAGTGCAACTCAGCCTTAGGAGAATGACGTAAGCAAGACTGACTGCAACAATAACAACGACACATCTCCCGATCATTTCATCTTGTACGACCTCCTAGGTGCCCTCGCCGATAACCTTTTATAGGTTTTTCTACAATCGACAAAGGAGTAAATGAGCTTCTGACACAACAAACGAAACTAATCGTAGAAAAACTAGACGATGACGCGTATCCCACTATCTTTTTTCCCGTGCGTCGTTTGTATTCTCACCAATAACCTTCTGTAGATTGAAGTGGTTGCTAGGATGACAGAAACTATCCAGTTCCACCAGCTAGTTCACAACAAACCATCTAGTTAAGTATTAGGTGAGGGTCGTCGGCCCTATCCAACTCCACATATTCAGCAATAGATAGTAATGAAAACAAATAGCAACAAGAGACGCACCTTGACTGCGACGCGTCTGCCAGTCTTCTTGTCGCGCGCGCAGTACACCTCTCCATAGGTGCCCTCGCCGATGAGCTCCTGCAGGTTGAACCGGTCGCGGGGGTCGGCGGCCCTGTCCAGCTCCACGTGCTGCGACAGCCCGCGGTAAGCCATGTCGCTGCGCATGGCTCACGCTTCGCATTGATCTCGCATCTACAACAATAACAAAATTTTTGTCATTTACAAGCTCTACATAGAGGTATAGGAAACTTTGTTTTACTTCTCACAACCTTTCTCTATGTAGCTACTTATAGCACTTATAGGCTCAAACATTTATGAAAATAAAGGTGCCTTCGTTTAGTTACTTACATAATAACATAATTTTTATATGTTGTGGTGTATCGTACACCAAAAATCGATATACTCAAACAAAACGCGGTTGTGAGTTCCAGTTCAAGTAACAACACAGATATGAAGGATTACAAAAAATTGCGGAACGTTCAAAACTCTGTGTTACGAAAAAAAACTAAAAATATAACGGAACCGTAATGAATTAAATATAATAAAATTATTAATAGAATACACTTTCAGAACAATAAAATTTTACAATAACAAAACACAATCGACTGTTAGGAAGTTGAACTAACGAAACAGTAATTTTCTGAGTGGCCAGTACGCGCGGAAGAGGACGCATACTCGCCCATATTTTATAATTTTATTGAATTGACACAAGTGAATATTATCTATGGAGTGTGCATATTTGTATGCGCCGTAACATCTTCCTGGTCAACGATGTCGGAAAAGGAAAGGTACTTACTGTATTTATTAATAATAATGTTCCATCGCGCGCGCATTGCGATTGGAAAATCGACGATGTGCTTAACGGATGGATGAAGTGTGAAATATTTTCGTAATTATAAGTAGCATCGTCGCTCATGCTTGAAAATGTATCATTACTCTGTACGTACTTGTAATCATAACAAGGGTATTTATTTATATAACTTAAATTAAATAAAGTAAGGATGTCCCTTCCTTGAGATTAATTTAAAACAATAGAAAAGCAGCGCTGCAGCGTGAGAATAAGCATATTCTTATCGTACATTGTTATTATACAAAGTAAATAATATAAATTACTTAGATAAAAGCAAGTATGAAAATACTTAAGTTAGGTACTGTGGATTTTTAATTCGTTTATGTTCTGGGAAAGAATGAATCAATTATTTATACTATAATAAAGTTAATATCTGGAATAAAGTATAGTATGTTACGTGCAAGATAACTTTTCTAGTCTGTAAATTATTCAGCGAAGCCATAAATGAAACTGTTTTTCTCAACAACAATTAATGTTAATGACTTATTAAACGTTTTAATTCACGCATCTCGCTACGTCAGAGATAACATCTTTATTTAACCATTCGAATAAATTATGTGACGAGTAAAATGGCAGGTACAATATTAAAGTAAGTAACTTTTGAATAATTTATATTAGTGTTTCAGAAAATTTAATTGAGAGCAAATACCTACTCGTAAGTTGCCATAAGTATCAGTTGAGATATGTACTGGTAAGTGTGGGTTACCATAGTGTAACATTCAGTTAGCACTCGTGATGCAATATCCACAGCTTACATTGCCCTCTTCACAAAGACGATGTCAAATTGGTGTCAGAGCAGCAGTAATAGAGCCATTTGCCAATATTTGAACTACGGCTTTGCGCCGCCGGAGCAGTCGGAATGACTCGCTAGAAAATGTCAATAGGAAATAATCACGATTCATAGCATTTGCGTTATGGAGTAGGTCAAATTATGGCATTTTTATTGTGGCATTATGATAAATGATTGATGGTTACACAAAATTATGTATTTTTCAATATATAATTTGCAGAGTTGTTTTTCTCAGATTTTATACTACTTTCTTACTACCTACGGGTACCTAAGTTTGAGAAATCTGAATCGTGTAAGAAATACTATAAAATTGCAACTTTTCTATTTTTATTGTACAGAAAATCGACGAGATAATCCTATAATTTAGCAACCCGTGGTAACAAAATATATCGCTATTCATCACACGCATCTTAACAGCCAGGGTTATTATAACAAGATTTGAACATCTCTGGAGCGTTGTAAGTTTTTGCCTAATTAATCAACAATGCTGCAATCGGCTCTAAAAACGTCGAGGTCGAAGCCACTGAGGCATTGAACTTAATCCATCATTACCGACGTCATGCGCAATTAGCGCACACAATACAACGTCATGTTTCAATATTTTCCAGAAAAAACACGTCTCAGTCTCCGTGATCGACGGACGGAAAGACGACACGACACTTTCACTGTTTACTTTGTCACGCCACCAGCACAGATCACCTCTAATAACTGTCTCAGCGGCTCACAAACATTGAAACATTAACATCGCTATAATTAAAGAATCACAAAATTATACACCGTTTACATATTCAGAGCAAATTTAGTTAAACACCATTTACATGTTCTCCTCGGAATCCACTTCACGGTTGATAGAGTAAGCCGCTACTTTGGTTCGTAATTTATAACCACTTAATTTACAGGTGTACCTATTGGACGAGATTACCATTTAAATTAATACCCAATCCATTACTACATAAAAAGTATCGATTCTCAAATTGCAATGAATCATCAGATTAATTTTTGCATCGTGCAAATATTAGATATTGACGATTCTAACAGTAAACGGGGACCGGATTTGGTAGAATTAATGTTGTTTATCGGAGCGTCCATGAGTCATTCAATATTTCCTCGTCATCGAATTCGCGGACATGTGAAATGTTAGAAGCCAAGTATTATGTGTGACTAAATAAATAGGAAATTAGCTACATTGTAACCCAGCCAGTCTCATTTATTACGTGTGCACTGCTGTACGTACATTAAGCTATTGTCTTTCTCCGTTCCTGCGAGTTAACAATAACAATTTACTCTCAATCTTGGTCAAATCTAGTCCATGACTTTTAATTATAGTAGCGATGAAAGATAAATAAAGGAATTTCAAGTAGCTTTAAAAGATCTTCGTAGCTCAAAGTGTTTCAAGCGGGGTTTCTTTCACATGGTTGTCATGCAAATGTTTTCCCAGGATTGTAGTAGGTGCATTGTGTTCTTTAATGTTTCCGGTTGTATTTTTATTTTATGCACACATAATTAAATTTGATATAGCATGTGTTGAATCTCTTTTCAAGGTCATGCTGTGACTGGTAATTAGAATAAGACAATGTAGATGAGGAACACGACTGCAAAGTGTTAATTTAATGACGCATAAAGCAAGTAATAGGCGCTATTCTCTCGCGGTGAGCCAACCTTCAGCGCTGAGCACCAATAGGCAATTTAAAGAATCACCGGTAATAACTTAGATAGCGAGACCATTGGTGAACCACCATTTCTTTTATGGTGTCAGTAATCAATTTTACACTTATAATACGAGAGAAATGGCGAAAGCGTTAAGAAGCCGCCAATATTTGTTGTGATTCGAGACGTTCGGATTCCGGCCGATATTTTTTGTGAGTTTGAAGAGTAAAAGTTCACCTTGCGTGCGCTTTCGATTTTTATTCGCGTAACTATTATTAGATATGGCTGGGTTTTAGGCAAATATGCTTATGGTGTGTAAGACAACGGACTTACAAGCTTGATTCAATATGTTGGTAAACGGAAACCTTACGTGGCGATGCAATCCTTTCATAGCATTAGTGGAGGCGCTAATGCAGCCCAGGGCCGCCGGGGCAGACGGCCGCTCGCTGTATTCTCTACTTAGGAATTCAAGCCCGCAAAGTGCTGACTTGAGCGAAATATTGCATGCGCGAGTGGAGAACAACACAAAAGGCAAGGTGAAAATAGACAACGGTGTATAATTATAACTTTTACATATGTAAGCCATTTATATCACATGCAAGTCATACATTTTGCATTTCTGAGAACGATTAGCTGTTATTCTGTTTATAAATTACTTTACTTACCTATGGGTAGTATTTAAATGATCGCGGCGATTAAACTCGAAAATTCAAATTAAGGATGTCAAAATTATTGACTGATTAATTAGTTATTTTTTGTGATTAATTTAATTATGTGAAATTGAATCTTGCTGTAGGATAAACAATTTAATGCTTTCGGATTTTTTCAATTGCTTAGTGATTTTGTCAAACACCTACTTACTTATGTTTAAAGATCTTTATTTTTCAGGAAGTACGTAACTGAAAATGTATTTATTTTAACAACCCACGTGTTTAAAATAACTTCTGTATGTGTATTTCCTAATCGATTTTTATACTTCAGTTGCGTGAAATAGAAAATTCTTGCAAATTATAGGTGGGTGTGCCACATACGTACCCAATTAACTGCACGGCTTGGCAGTCTCGAGCATTTTTATTATTGGCTCGGTAATTAAATAAGAACTCTTTTAAAATATTTTCAATCCTCAAATAATGCTACCGGGTCTGTGATGTAGCCTTAATATTGCAAAAAAGACTTTATGTCATTTACAGTTACTGTTGGTATTTGTAGGGTGAGATTCTTACCATGCCGTAACACAGTTACGCCTAGCACGGAAGGTAAAAAGCTTTCCGCAAGTATGTCGCAAATTGACAAAAATTCAAGTGACTAAGTTCTTAATTTAGTGTCTTCTTAAGGTTCGGCCAAACCAACGCGATCAACCGGCGTGCAGCGATGGCGATCAATGCATTTTGGTCTGGTCGCCATCGCTGCACGCCGGCTGATCGCGGTGTGATCGCGTTGGTTTGTCCGAACCCTTACTGCATTTTCTTACATCAATGAGTAACATTATAAATCTATCCAGGGTAGGCGAAGACGCTTAACTGTACACACTGTAAAATTTAACTTAGTACATAGTTCTCTATTCATTAATAGCTCTGCATGAATATTCTATTTATAGATCAAAACATAGTTTAGATTCGCTTTCGAAAGCGATTAATCATTGTTTGTCTTTAGATAGAGTCGTAAAATGACAAAAGACTCACTAGCCGTGCCGACTGGAGCGCGATGAAGACTTCAAAATAAACGTGAAGTGCGGATTATTGTTGCCACCAGTAGAAAGCAACACTTTCTAGTCGCAATCAAGGGTAAATAATGCCTTTCAATTAGCAGAATAAATCAATTTGTCAAATTGATCGCGATCGACGCGCTTTTTGTTACGATATCGCTAAGGGAATACAAACCTTTGCTACTATAAACAACTCTATG